AAAAAAAAAGATCTGGGCACCTCTCAGCCCAGCACCTCATATCTCACCTCCTATCTGTTGCTCTACATGAATTACTGTTGAGCAGCACAGTTCAAAGCCTGCCTCTGTACCTTGTGATCACAGCACCATGGGCATTGTCCTTTGAGATGCGGGTTCACGTCCCCTGGGACACAGTAAGTCTTCACACCCATCCCAAGAAGTTCCTGGGTCAATGTTCTGGCCACCAGGATAATGCGCAAACCTGTTCACCCCTCACAGTGCCTCAGTTTAGCCCTCCGTTTCCCTCACCTTTTGCTAAATAGGGAAAACGTGTGTTTCCTGTTTTCACCAAAAGGAAAACTCAACGTTTTTTTCCATTTTAGTGAGAATAGCTGAAAAATGTAAAGCTCAACATGAGGCTTTTTGGCTTTTTGGCTGTAGGTTCAATTGCTAAACTGAGCACGACTGTCCAGCCTTCCTGCAGACATCCTGAATCCAAGGCAAGGAAAACCCCTTGTGACCTTTTTCAGGTGAGAAAGTGAAAAGTCCCTGAGCTGCCTTGGATGGGGAAAGCGGAAAGCCTGGGCAAGATTTACTGGCAACTTCAACTTCGGAAGCCAACGCTAGGAAGAAGCAAAAGGGTTTGCTGTCAATGAGAAACACCTTCTGCGTTGCACAGCCTGGTAAGTACCTACATGGCTTCTGGTTGCAGTCTTCACTGTGATCTCTAATACAATTCTAACCGTTTCAGCTCGGGCTGAGGAACCACCATCTGTTGGCTTGTTAAAGGCAAAGCTGTGATGTGGCTAATGAAGACGTCCAACCACTTCTCTCCCACCTACCTAGGACCCTATGAAAAGCTACCTAGGGCCCCAATTTCTAGCCCCTCAGCTTCTGCTTTCCTCTCCCTACCTTATCTTTTTCATTTTGAACATTCCCTCTGCTTGCAACATTTTCCGCGCTGGAGCAAGCTCCTTTGTAAATGAAAACCCTTCCGCTGAGACCCAGCCTGCAACCTTTTGCAAAAACAGGTTAGCTAACACGTACTGCTGCCCGCTTCTCCGCACAGCTCCTTTTGGTAATATCCACAGGATTTTGCAGTGCTAGGAAACACTGGCTCACAGGTGGCTAAATTGTAGAGACCGTGGTAAACAAGGGAACACCAGAGAGAATAAATAACCCCATGTCGGACAGCGGGAGGTCTGGCATAACTTTAGCTGCGGTCTTCAACATTCCCTGTTGCTGAGCTTACGGAGGCTGCAACCCAACAGCTCCAGCCACCAACTCCGCCTACTTATATAAGGCACTTGATAAAACAGTGCTCTTTAAAACCCAGGCTCAGCAACGTGTTGGGGAATTCTTCTGCAAGGTTTCAAAGCTCCTGGGCCCTGACAACATCCACAGAGCAGGACAAAACACTCCCAGCCGGGTTGAACCCTTCTGCCAATAAATTCAGCTGGCTGCTCACAGCACCACACTCCTGTGGGTTAACTGCTGCTTCGCCAGTGTCCTATCAATGGTTTTATGGTGGTTGAGCCTCCAGAGAGCCAGACCTCTTGATAACAGATTGGTGCGATCTGTCCCCACTGTGCTGACTGCAGCCACCAAATCCCAGGAGAGTTGCTTGCCTTGTTGATACAAAGCAGTAAAAAAACAAGTCTCCCGCCTTGCCATTCAAAACCGGAGAGATTTTTAATTTCTAGCTGATAAAAATGAAACCCAAAGGGGAAAAAAAGCACAAGAAGGGCCATGAACTTTTTTTCCCAAAAGGCTGAGTTGCATCAGCTGGAGAGACAGGACAAAACTCAGCAGTGAAAAAGATCATCACAACCGAGCTTGTAAGGGCAGCAACCACCGTTCAAGCAAAACTAAAATGTTTCACCCATGGCTTTGTGTATCTTTGCCAATAAGGAGATGTTTGAATTCCTCTCCTAGCACAGAGCACTTGGACTCAGTTGCATAAACACAACCCACCTTGCTGACAAGCATGCATAGGGACGTAGAGTGACTTAGGGCACAGCCCCACCAGCTCTTTCCTCCCTGCAAGTTAGGCAGTTAGTGAGGCAGCAGAGGCAAACAGAGGCTCTTATTTCTCCCAAGGATGAGCAAGCTGGGACAGCACTTTCAGCGCAGCTGCATTTTCTTGCCAATGCATGGAGGAGGCCCCGCCGATCAAGGCTTTCCCCTTCCTCGGGAAGGAGGAAGCCCGTTCCAGCCCTTTTCCTGCACAGCTGCTTGCTTCCTTTGCAGGCTGTGATGGGAACAGGGCCAGCACTCAGCTGTTTTCTTGCCCCTGACAGCTCCCCAGAGGAGAGGGGAGAGCACCCACGCAGCAGCCGCGTCTTCCTTTGCGCCACCCAGGGCTTATCTATAAGGAGAAGAAGCTCATAGCAGCAAGCTTTGCCAAGTAGATAATGCAACAAACTGGTGCCTTGTACTTCTCTGCACATAAGCCCTGGACACCTGCCAGCTGAGACTCCAGGACCTTCCTCAAAGCTGGGCCATGAGGCAAATGGCCAAATTAAAGTCTTTACCTTCCTAGTGCATGACTTTAAGGCTGCTGTCCCATTAACAGCACATCCAGATCCTAAGGAAAGGGGCACATCTCCTCTGCCACAGACACCAGAGTTTGGGTCCTCCCGATATCCAGCATCCCTCTCATTCCCTCTTCACACTGGGGCTGTCCTACACGGAGGCTGGCGTGCAGAGATCACCCTGGGACAGAAGGCTCTCGGCGGATTACTCAACCAGCCTCACAGCTTCTGAGCCAGTTCTTTTTCTCATATGTTTTCCCTCACAAAACTTCTAGCTAAAACAAGACATTACTGCAAAAAGTTTTCAACTAAGCTGAGCCTCAAAGGGAGGTCAGTGCCAACACGCCTCGGAAAACCTTACTGCCCCATTTAAAACCTTTGAAAATGCAGCCCAAAGATCACAGAAAAGGCAAAACTTTTGATCCTCTCCTTGTGTACACACCCATATAATATCACTGTTTTCAACAAAGCTATTCCTGAGATAAGCAGAGAGCCAAGTGACCTGTTTTACCACATCGTAGGACTTGAGAAAACTGTGTCACTTGAATGAAGTCACATCTCACCAAGAGTAACAGGCAGAAACAGGAACATGGCTCGCAAATACAAGCAGAAGTTTGAAAACAGATGTTGCCAACTTGTCTTTCACTTGGATGTTCTTCTTTCTGGTTGCTAGTTACGGTACCTTTGCAAGGCTGCACGAAGATTGATTCAGTTTTCAGGTGTGGGTTACTCGTCTTCAAGCCACAGCAATCACAAATCCACAGGCTGAAAATATGCTTTCCTCCAAATACATTTTGGATGGCCAAGAAAAAAAGCAGTTCTGTTGCTGTTCAGAAAGGCTTTCTCATTTCTCCAGAGATCCCAAGAAGATGGTGTGAGGGTCTGGATCAGCTCAGCACATTTCAAGTAGCACAGCCTAAGGGGAAGGCTAGAGGTGCCTTGAAGGAGGCTGTACTATCTGATGGGCTGCTCTCCTTCTCAGGTTAATCAGAGCACAATTCCCACCTCACAAGGAATGGGCACAGAGCGAGCCGTAAAAGTACATACACCCCCCCAAATTCTGGGAGAAACTTTCGATTCCCTCTTCTTTTCTACCACCAGAATGGCAGAAGCAAAAGCCAAAGCATTTAGCCAAGTCATGCAGTTGGTTACAACACATTTGCATCATAACATGCCTACACGGCCTGTCAAATAACAATACCAAGATTAAAACCAATCCACTTCTTCCACAGCTTTATATCAGACAGTGTTTATTTCTGTTGCATGGAGCACTAACCACTCAAAGCTATTTGTACACCCACTCCTCCCTGCTGACCAGCTTCTTCACTCCAATGAATAAAGTTTTCAGGAGCTTTGATAAATGCTGGAGGTGAACCAGACCACCAGAACCCATTTAGACTCAAGAAGCTCCAGGAATCCCAACTATCAACAAGCTACAGAAAAACATTTTGTAAAAGAGTCATATGCCAGGACTTCCTATGTCTCCTCTGCTTTCTGATCCAGCAGATCAAACATCTGGCTCCCTAAAATACGCACTGAGGAACATACAAGCCTGGGAAACCTTTACCTCGTGCTAGAGAGACAGATGATGCAAAAGGCGTTTTTGCGGGCAGGCCTGTCTCCTAAATGAGGGCACACAGCAGGGAGAAGAGAAATATGCTTGAAAACTGCCATATTCTAACAAACCCTACAATCTATAGCAGCAATTACAAGTCAGCATCACTCAGAGCAGCCTTAAGGTTGCTCTAAACTGCATTGAGGATGGGGAAGAGGAACACAGGGAGCTTCAAAACCCCTCCAGCCAGAACTCAGTATCATGCTCTTGATACAAGATGTTTGAGCAACCTGGTCCAGTGGAAGGTGTCTCTGCCCACGGCAGGGGGGCTGGAACCAGATGAGCTTTAAGGTCCCTTCCAACCCAAACCATTCTATGCTTCTATGTTGTTTGCACCGAGGCATTTGCTGCTGTGCTGGAACAAAAAGCTGCCCACAGAAATTTTCCCATGAACACTTCTAACAAGCAAAAAGAAAACTGGCAGATGAGAACATAAGCCAGGGAAAAAAAACAAGCCTTACTCTTCTAAAAGCCCCTACTTAGAGAGAGGGAATCTACAGGCAGGCCTGAATAACACCATGACCAGAAGACGATCTGAATCCGAAATTTTCAGTAGCTGTCACTAACTTACACCCACTGTACCTCTCACCCTGCAATACGTTTATTATACAAGTGTCTAAGATCAGGGAGCCCTCTCCATGAAGAAGCCAAAGGCAGAATATCATTCCTCTCTGGGAACATGCCTCCGTTTTCAGGAGTTATCTCATCATGACACCACAACCTAGCCGCAGTGCTGCGGCGGCACGTCCTACGTACTGGAGTACCTTGGAAGAAAGCAGAGTTTCACAGAGGTCCCATTTCAGAGCAGCAGCTCTTCTCCCTGCCCCGTCACATTGCCAGGCATCGTAAAGCATCGCGAGAAGGTGCCATACCTGTACGTGACATGCACTGCAGTGCCAGGCTCATCTCTCTCCCAAATCAAAGCCACTCTGTTTGGAGACTTCTCAACGTGTTGATCCAAGCAATTTACTGTAAGAAAACAGAGGTTTAAACAAAGCTTGATCATATGCAAGGTGCTCTGTAAACTTAGCTTGGTCAAATGTAACAGCAAGCTAGCATAAGACGAAACATCATTTATTAGCTAGCTAGCCACACGCTCATTTATAACACTGGGAAGTTGTCCTTTACAGTGATAGCATTGTAGCACTGGTAAAGCTGCCCTTTGCGATATCTGTAGTATGCAAATACTACAAACACTATACTTAATTGGTACAACTGCCTTAGAGATGGCATCCCCACGAGAGGCCTCAGCTGATTCAGCTCAGCTTAGCTCCACTGGCTAAGCTTAAACCAGCCCAAATCTCTCCTCTGCTCCCAGCAGCACAAAGACAAGACACTCCTTTGATGTTTTTGCTCCCCAGAGCAGCATTTCACTACATAAATCTGACAGACTGTCTTCCCCAGCTTGCATTTTTAGCACTGCATCGTTTGCATTTTCTAATTAAAGCTCACGTGAAACATTTTTATTCCAGGGTATAATGGAAGAGCTGAATCTCAGCTAACTGAAAATACCTGAAACTTCAGGATCTAGGGTAAACTCACAAGAGTACAGACATCTGGGAAAGACAGACGTGTCTCAAGCTGTGTGCCACACCTCCTAAAACTTGAAGGTATAAAATTACCTTCTGAAAGTGCATCTCTCCTCCCAACAACCAGAGGTAGCGGAAACCTGAACAACTACATGAGATGCCCAAGTGGACTTAGGGAAGGCACCCCCGCTAAAGAAACTTATAGAGAATCCATCCAAGAAACCTGCCTGCTTGTTCAGCAGCAACTTGCCTGATGGTTAGAGATTAACCTTGCAAAGTATTAATTCCAAGCCTAAACTACACTTACTTATTTCATTATAATCTTCCAAAGGCAATTACTTTATTTCAATAGACAGCTATTAAAAACCAATCAGGCACACTGCTGTGTGAATCAGAGAAAATCCTTAAAAAAATGCTGAGTTTCAGATCAGATATTTCCTGGAAATATTAATATTTCCAGGGGAAGGATTTCATTTTTCCAGATAAATTAAATGCAACGAAAGCTGCCTGTTGCTGTCACAATTTGTGAAGTTTAAGTCAACTGCGGCTTGGGAGTTGGCTTCTGCCATTCTGTGATCACAGGTGATTTACACCACCACAAGGAGGGTGAGAATGAGCCCCTAAAGGTGCACAGTGAGAGAAATCCCTCAGCATTCGGCATATTTTATCACAAGAACAACGGTCAGTCTCAAAAATATGAAAAAGTGCTCTTCAGCTGTTTAAAGTCTTGTATTTTTTAACGTAAATTCCTGCAGCAACACTATAAAAATAAAGGAGATAAAGCCATTTCTTAGGTCATCCTAATACGGTCTGGGAGGACAAAAGCTCTAATGGGGAATGCTTTAAGCAGTTACACACTGGTTTCCTCTGCCTTCCGACCACAAGTAATTGGATCTGCTGTGGCTTGGTCCATGACCCTTAGCAACTCCCACCTCCAAGCCCATGGCAGGAACACCCTCATGGATTGCGACACGCTACAGTAAATCACATTAACAGGAATTCATTGCCCAAGCAGCATTTTTCACTCGTGAGCAGCCGTACTAGCCCCAGCTGAGCCAAGTGACAGCTTTAGCTCTTTGCTCAATAAGAACCAGCAGGTGAACCAGGGCCAAATGCTATTATTTCCTTCCTGATCTTAGGCTTACAGGAGCCTTTTGCTCATTTTACAAAACAGAATTTAGTGACCTTCTCCTTACTCCTACACCCTAATGGTTTCTCCACACGTTTTCTCACCTCCTCACCACCACTTGGAAATGATTCATTTCGGTAAGACATGCTCCTTGAGAACCCAGTACCTTGGAAGTGCAGTAGTTTGTCGGGGTATTTTCCTGGCCAGGAGTTATAACGCAATAAACCCAGAAGCGCCAAAGTTCACAGTTCCCCCAAATCCTACCACAAGGTCTCCCCAAGCAAAAAGCAGCAGATGACTCAGTTGCCCATGGTCCAGCTGTGCTGGGAGACAAGCACATGGGATGCTCCGGATCAGGGACCTGAACTGTTGCCATATTTCTGGAACTAGTTCAAATCAAGAGATCAAGGGACAAAACCAGAGCCTCCTAGCAGAAAACTAGCCACTCAGCTGTGGCCGAGTACCATCTTCATCATGCTTTAAAAGAAGAAAACCAGCAGTAGCAAAACTGTTTAATTCTGTGCATCTATGTTTCAGTGGTCTATGATTATTTTTTTTACTTATGCAAAGAAAACTAAGTGGTAGTTAGTGCCTGCAGAAGAACCAGACCCAAGACATGATCTAAATCAGGCCCAGCAATCTCTGGATTTCAGACTCCTGACCTACATGGGATCCAGAAGAAGGTGCTGATCCCACTCTACAGAGGAAGAAACGGATCCCTGAAAGTCTCTGTGCTCAGCCAAGATCTTCATTTAAATAGGAATCAATGAAAAAAGAAGTCTGGCTAAAATCCGTCAGATTGCTGGGTGCTGGAAGCAGGGCTGTACGCACACCTCCATCAACTTGGGATCCCACTGCTGGGATTCATCTCCCGGGAGGGGAGGCTCCCCTATGTTCTCTGGGTGACCTGAGGAAGGTTTGCTCTTTGGCCGTGAAAAAAGGTGGCCCGAGATGCTGCAGTTCCTGCACTCCTGAACCATGGTCTGGTGATTCAGCCACTCTCCCAGGAACAGGAAACGAAGTTAAGAAACATACATCCCTGTTAAAAGCCTTCCCCACCGAGCTGTACCCTTGACAGGGCTGGGGCTTACTCTCACGGAATGAAGCAGGGCCACAGCACAGAAGAGCCTTGAAGGCAGATACGGTCAGGAAGAAACTCGGAGGTAGTCTGGACTGTCAGGGCAAATTTTTCTCTTCCTTCATCTAAGTGGTGAAGTTGGAGGAAAAGACCCAGCTCCTCATTTAAGAGAGAAAAGAGGCTGCAGCTTCCCTCGTAAAAGACTGGGATTCGCACCGTCCCCCACCTTTGCTTCATATTCGCCCCGGCGCCGCGGAGCCCACCGCGGGACCAAGCAGCACCCCGCAGCCGGCCACCGGGGTGGCGGGCGGCACAGCCCAGGTCAAGGCACCCCTGCCGGCATGGCGCCGGGGATGCTGCCTCCCAGCCCTTCGGCGGGCCTTCGCCCACCTTCGCCCCACGTGGGCCCGAGGAAGACGTCGGGGCTGCGGCAGGGTTTCCACAGAAGCGATGGGCGGCCGCCGGGGAAGCAAGGCCGGGGCAAGAGGCTCAGCCAGGGTTACCCCCGGCTTCGGATTTTCTCCCCGCTTCCCAGCACGTCGCAACGCCCGGCAGATTTCCTCCGAGCGCCGCCCAACCGAAACCCTCGGGTTTTCCCCCCACAGTTCGCTCTGGCCCAAACCACCCCGCTGG